CCCCAAAACCCCAAAACCCCTCTATATCACTTTATAACTATTAAATTGTAAGATATTTATTTATTCTGAAATTGAATTCTAATTATGAGTTTGTTCAATTAGGATAGAATATCTCCCTTAGAGCCACCCATTTATCCTTTTCGTAGAAATTCTTGGAAAGACCTTCTACTTTCTCATTACATTACTTTATCTATTAATCAATTTATTATTTCGTCCATTTCTCATCTAAAGCAAATTTCTTTTTATCAACATCCTTAACTTCGAATTTCTCAAAGTTTGCTTTCCATTCCTCAAGATATTCAACTTTAGTCTCAAAATAGTAAGAAAAATCAGACCTTTTAGATCTTTCATTAGTTGTAGTGCCTGATGTGGCCATGTATAAATGATACAAGAAAAACAAAGTAAGCATAAAACTCATTACGATGCATAAAATAGTAACAAAAGCAAATGGAGTCTCTTAGTCAAATAGCCATCTGCAAACGATATAGAGACTTGGCGATATACTCTCTCCAGTTTTCAAATTTTTAAATTAAGCTTTAAATAGATTCTATTCCTCAATAATACCATAAAATATTAGACATCCTATTACTGCACCATAAGTACAAATAACCGCATGACTAAAGATAAATATCAAAAAATATCTGTAGTTGTAATAGCCAACACATCTGTTTAACCAAATACAATGATGATCAAATTTCTGAACGCAAACATTGCACATACTGCAATGCTTTGATCTTGCAGGCTTTGGTATCTTACAAGTCCTGCATTCTTCACCTTTCTTGAATAATATTCCATCATAATCAAATCTTCTGATTGCATCTTTGACATTAGTCTTCTTAATCACCCCTGGATTGGTCCAACTAGCAAAGATGAAGGAAATATAGCAAATTATCATGATTATTGTTCCAGTAGTCTTATGATAGTTATCGACATAGGGACCAGGAATAAATCTGTTGAATCCTATTTTCACGTAAATATAGAATCCTCCTCCAGCCAAGAAGCAGTATAAAATCTAGATTAGTGGATTAGTGGAAAAACATATCCAAGTTATCATGCGCTCAACTCTATCAACAAATCTTTGACCGCATATCTTAGCTCCTACTGACCTAAGGATGTTTGGTAATCCTTTGAATAAAAAATATCTCATTTTAGACAGAGCTGAACCACTATGAGGATCAACGCACACAAAAAGATAGAAAAATGCACCGATCAATAATACTATTGTAAAAAATGTCCACATTACTTTATAATTATCTATTAATTATATATTGTGCTATTTTATATTTAATTAAAGAGACTGGGGTTTTGGGGTTTTGGGG